ACTGCCGGTGATGGGTGGGGATGGTCTACAAGCCCCACCCTGCCTCTCAAAGGCAAGATGCAAGTGTTTGGTGCAAAACCAGACACTAAACAGTCACGTTCGGAGATCCTGAGGCAAGGCGCGTAGCCGAGACCTCTGGGAACTCCAAACGAACACAAACATGGATAATCACCAAGTGTTCCAATGGTGACGTCCAAGTCTTGAGGACGGTCAAAAATGGGGTGTCTACAACCTCCTTAAAGAAGTTTGGTCCCCAAACTTCGCTTAGCTTGTTCCCAAAACGACTCTCGATATCGAGTTCTCATCTCTTCTTATCTTCCTTAGCTTTTACCTTGAAACAATCCTTAATACGATAACCCATCTCACCACATCCGAAACATGCTCCAGTTGTCCGATGACAAACTCCTAAATGTCGCTTCCCGCAACGTGAACATGTCGGCCAGGTTCCACCTTCCTGATTCGCGCTGTTGGGACTATCCTCCCTTGTCTTCTCCTCGGCGTCATTCGGGTCTGCCTCTTCTTCGCGATTGTCATAGGTCTGCCTCTTCCTCTGATTCTTCCCCGAACTTTGACCTCTGTTCAGGTTGGCTTATGCAAGGATGGCTTTATCTAACACTCCAGCATACGTCGGCATGTTCAGCAAATTAACTTGATCTTGTATTGGCCCTCGAAGTCCACTCTCAAACTTCCTAGCTTTTCTGTATTCATTGTCGACCATGTGAGGTGCATATCTTGCCAACTCGGTGAAAGCACGATCGTACTCTGCCACTGTTTTGCTACCCTGTGTCAACATCTGAAATTCTATAGTCTTGCGATCCCGAACACTGAGTGGGAAGTGCTTGTCATAGAACAGTTCCAAAAATCTGACCCAAGTCAAGTCTGGGTTACCTTCTCGGATCATCATCCACCATCTACGAGCGTCGTCTTCCAAAGTGAACACTGCCAATGACACCTTCTGAGCGTTGGTGCTGGGAAAAACCTCGAACAACTTCTCCATCTCAAGAATCCATGCTTCTACTTTCATCGGCTTTATACCTCCTTGGAACTTCGGCGGTTTCATCTTCTTGAATTCCCTGATCAGTGTCAATGTGTCATCTCCATACAAAGCTGGCTGTGGAGGCACTTGTGGTACTGGCGGTGGTGGAGCTGCATGTCGGCCATCTGTCTGCTCGGCCTGGGTGGAGGTAGTACCGGTGTTCTGCTGCCTTGCTTGCCTTAACTCATCGGTCAAACTTCCAACCAATCTTTCTAATCTGTCTATTCTGTCCTCGGATTGATCTCGACCAATTGGGGGTCTACCTCTTCTCATGATGCTGGGGAATGCAGGATGTGACACTTAAACAAGATGAACAAATGGACATGTATGCAAGTGAACATGATCATGCCGATGTAACAAAATGTTCATGCCGAGATGATGCACACCTTGTCAAGTAGCAAGCAATATGATGCAATCTTAAAATCATTCTAAGGGACATCTATGCTCTTTAGGACTCAAAGTGTGTGAATAACGTACTATAAAGATCTTGTGCTCTGATACCATTCTGTCACGACCCCAAACCACCCTTAGTAGTTTGGTGCCGTGATGGCCAGTAATCCGAGATTACCGAAGGCCAACTTTCAAAAGTTCACACACAATCAGAGTATAGATGTAGGGGGCTCACAAAATGCGGAAGCAATAATCTAAAATACAAGTGGTCCATGAGAGCAGTGCATAAGTCAAGTGGAATGGCATACATCTTCACATAGCTTTACAACTTGAATATAATTAAAGCTGAGTACAAAAATACATATTTCATCTTAACAAAGGGCTTCACAAGCCGACACAAACAAAACACTTGAGCTACAAAACATGAAACAAAATCTTCAGGATTGCTGACATAAACATGCATCCAAAACATCTTGCAAAACACACATCTCAGCGTAGCCGACTTCTTGCTTGTTACCTACATACATACATAGGGAGGGTGAGCTTGGATACTCAGTGAATGGTATAAGTAATAAAGGGGTTAAATGAATGATACCCAAGATCCTTTCAAAACAATACATAGTATATCTTGTCAAAACCATACATAACATAGCTTAGCTTGGCTTGAAACAAAACATCATTCGAAACTTGGTCTTTCAAAACTTACTTGCTTACTTAACATACGTCAATCTTAAAACATGGGGTGATGACATCTCGGCAAAAAAAAAGCATAACCTCGGCATCGAGCACACCCGTTCATAGTCCGTCAGTGGCCGATATCTAACAAGGGTGCTACCTAGGCTTAACGTCCCCTAGCACGAAAGGACGGTGCGACATGGGCTTAAAGTCCCCTCACACGGGAGGACTATGCTACATAGGCTTAAAGTCCCCTAGCACGGAAGGACTATGCTACATAGGCTTAAAGTCCCCTAGCACGGAAGGACTATGTTACATAGGCTTAACGTCCCCTAACACGAAAGGACTATGCTACATAGGCTTAAAGTCCCCTAGCACGGAAGGACTATGTTACATAGGCTTAACGTCCCCTAACACGAAAGGACGGTTCCAAGAATGTCATCCAAAACAAAGCTTATACTTGATACATAAAATAGGGATCTCATTCATGCTTAACAAATACTTTTATCAAAACAAGACAAAGCTTTATCAAAACCTTAAGAACATAACTTTATTAAAAATACCACTCACTTAGCTCTTGGGACGTTGGGGTCAAGGCAAAGGTCCAGGTCCTACAAACACATGGCAAAACATACTGAACATACTTCTCAAAACAAGCCTTACATACATGCAGATGATCTCGAAAAACATGCTGGGAGTCAAAACACTGTTTTACATGTCAGGAAGACATGCTGGGTACCAACCAGGTCTTAGCCGAGGTCCCACACCTCCGGGCCGAGGTGTGGCTACCTAGGCTTCGACATGCGGCTGCATGCCGAGGTGCGCCCAAGACAGACTAAAGGTGTAAGTGATCATGCAAGGTAGGCCAAGGTGAGATACGATGCTTGGCCTAAGTGTGAGGTCTAGGTGAGGTGATCTCGGTGACTACACCTTGGAAAGTGAAGTCTGGAAATCTGGGTTTCCACCCATGAAGGACAGGAAGAACATGAACATGAAGATCATGAAGAACATGAATGCTAAAATCATAACTTCTTTATTTACAAAATCTTGGGTTTCATGCTATGAGTTCAAAAACATGGACCTGGGTACCCATACTTGAAAATCATGCGAAAACAAACACAAAAACATGGATCTAGGCATGAGCCTTCGGATCAAAACATGACTTCTCTTGAAGAACACATGAATGCCATTTTCTCTTTCTAAAACCAAACTTCAAAGCAATGCATGGCTTACAAATCTTATTCAATCATGCAATGCAATAACATAAATATAAAGAGCAACAAGAGCGAATTAAGAATCTAACCTTAGAACACAGATCTAACGGTTCGATCTCTAGGAATCAAGCTTAGAAATCCACTCTCTCTCAAGAATTCTTCTACCTCCTCTAGAGCTTCTCTCTCTCTCTCTCTCTCTCTTCAAACAAGTTTAGGAACAAATGAGGGGTTTCTCTCTCTGCCGACTGACTTAATTCTCAGCTCGGACGCGTGGTAGCGGCTGATTGGTTCTCCTCAAAAGTTGATGGATTGACAAGACAAGACTATGACAAAGTGTATCTAACAAGCTACTCGGAATGGTACTCCGGCAAGTGATGACATCGGCTAAGGACAAGGCTTCGGCAACTAAGGTGACAATGACATCAGCTAGGAAGGACAACACTTGACTAAGCTGTGCCACACCTTGGCCTAGATGCGCCACACCTCGGTCTAGGTCATACCACTCCAGGACAAGGTCACTCAGGTGCAAAGGTAACATCTCGGCCTAGATGATACACATCTCGGCCTTGGTGATTCACACCTCGGCCTAGATAATGACATCTCGGCCAATATGCCAGGGCGAAGGTGGAGGTCAAACAAATGGGTTCCAAGATACTTCTAGACTGAGGATGACCTCGGCTTGGAATGATCTAAGCATAACGTGACCTAGGCTTGGCATAACTTCGGCTAACATAACTTAGGCTCGAGGTATCAAGGAAGGAACAAAGCAAGCACACAACACTTTGACAAATCACATAGACATCAAAACAAGGCATGGATCTTACATAGGGAAAACAAGTCATAATTATGCAAATGCAAGCTTAACGGGTCATAATCATACCAATGTTCATGAACATGGCTACAACATAAATGTGGGTTATTACACTTACCAAGGTCTTCACTTTGGTCTCAAGAACATGAGTCTAAAATCTAATAGATTTTGGTGGATCAAGGATTTTATATGATAAATGTAACCCAAAAAAAATTCGAAGAGATAGAGACAACTGAGAGTTGGGAGAGTCCAAAGTGGGAGAAAGAAGAAAATAGGGGGAAAAGTGTTCTGCTGCCAAGAACAAATGAAAAAGGAAGGAAATAAGGGAGGAGAGAGAGGGCCCACGTGTTATTGCTTTCAAAATTATTTTGTTTTTTTTTTTCTAACACAAATATCTATCTATATATATACATCCATATATATATATATATATATCAATTAAAAGTATATTTTAACATCATTAATAACGAAAATAATATAATATTTTCTCACGACAAAATATATTTCGTTTGATGGTGCACACCATAAATATTTGTAACTCTTTTATGGTAATCAAATAATAATAATAATACAACAACAATATTACATGGTTACTAGCGGGTCACGATTCAATCAATTGGGTCCAAAATGAATGGAGTTTAATAATTTAAAATAACTCCCCAACTGAGATTAAAGTATAAATTAACTTTAAAATACTTAAGGTGGTCTCCAACATTCGCATAATTAAATATGAACCAAAATGATTAAGTATGGGCTAACCAATTAAAACCCAAAAATTGAATTTATAAGTCATTTATTACCCAAGACCCAAGAATCACTATAACTAAAACAAAAACAATAATTTTGCCAAGCGGGCCTTACGAAGTCGAAATCAAGAAGTAATTCAATTTACTTTCACCGATTTAAATAGAATGGTTCACGACACCACAAAAATAATAATAAGGGCAAAAATTCAATTTGATTCAACTCGTTACATAAACCGACAAATCAGTTAAACTAAAAAATATTCAGCCTAATCCGTTAAGTCAAATGGGCAATTAACATATACAAAAATTAATTAATTAAAACTTTTAAATGTTATTTTAATTTTATTTTAAGAATTAAACTCTCTTGAATTGAAGAATGCACAACACTATAATATTAAGGTTCATTTTATATAAGTGAAACAACCCATTTTTTTTGTTTATTTTAAAATAAAAGTTAACTATTATTTGGGCAGGAAGTTTATTTTTAATCAAACAATCTCAGTCGTTCAATCTTTAATCAGATCAATTTTTAGTTTATTTCAAATCAAACAAATCTAATCAATATATTTTGAAAAAATCGCTAAAATCGCAGTTAAACCAGTGAATCAGTCAAATAAAAAATGATTCAACCTAATCGGCCAAGTCAAAGACCAACCAACTTACACAAAAATTAATTAATTAAAATTTTTAAATTTAAACTATTTTGAATTGAAACATGTACAACACTACAATATTAAATGTGAGTATAACATTCACTTAATATGAATAAAACATCTCACTTTTTCCTTCTTTTCCCAATGTGGGATCAAATAAATCATAAACTAATTAGAATTTTATTTTTATATGGTTAAATAGAAGCTAACCAATGGAGAGTTTTTTAATTGTTTTAAATTAAGAAAATTAAGAAAATTAGTATAAGATATTGAAACTTTCATAAGGCTCCTCACTAAAAATTCCATTTTCCTTATATAATATATAGATATATATTATGAGAAAAATCATAGAAGCTATCTATTTAAAATCTTACTTTATATATATATATATATATATAATATTGTGAATATTTTATAAATATGTAAAGTTGAAAATGTAAATATTCATACTTTTAATAACTAAAATAATGTGTATTTTTATAATGAAAGAGGTAAGTGTAAATATTTACATTTAAACTTTTATCCTAATTAATCC